AGGAAGGAAGGAAGGAAGGAAGGAAGGAAGGAAGGAAGGAAGGAAGGAAGGAAGGAAGGAAGGAAGGAAGGAAGGAAGGAAGGAAGGAAGAAAGAGCATTATTTAATTCCATATGCAAAAGTTAATTTCAAATGGGTTAAAAGCATGATAACCAGAAAACACATTAAAGAAAACATAGATGTTACACTCTTGGATATAAACCAGAAAGGTGTACTTGCAACTCTAGTAGCAAAGGAAACAAAATCAATAATAAACACATGGGACTACATCAAACCAAAAAACTTTTGTGCCTTGAAGGAAATTACCACAAAAACCACGGACAGACAGGAAGAAGATATCTGCACATCACATATCTGACAAGGCATTAATTTCTAAAATATATACAGAACTCTTACAATCAAAAAATAGTCAAATGACATAGATATTTCCCCAAAGATGACATGCAGGTAGACTAGAGACAAATGTTCAACATCACTTATTGTTCGGTATCACTTGTTATTTAACATCAACATCAGCAACTCTTACTATAGGTATGTTATCAAAAAATTTATAATTTTCATTATAATATTGATTTTGCTAGTGAAACACTGAAAACCACCTGAATGTCCCTCAAAAGGGGAGTAATCAAAAAAGTATTGCACATTCATATCATGAATGATTTATTCAGCTATTAGGAAACAGCTTGTACACACACACACACACACACACACACACACACACACACTTGGGGATATGTTTATAGAATAAGAGGAAAATGTAAATTGAAGAATAGTATAAATAAAAAATTCATGAACTCTCGCCATATTAATATACTAGTTTGTATATATTCATATTAGCACAGAGAAAATTAAGAACCTAATTCACAGCTTGGAGCAAGGACACAGTTGGGGAAAGGAGAAGGCTTGCTATTATTTAGACTTCTCTGTAAACATTGGTTGATTCAAGGAACAATATTGTTTTAATTTTGACAGCTTTGGCATAGATTTACATTTGCCTAGATAATATTCATTCTCTTCATTCTCTTTATTGCCAGAAGTCCTTTGCCCCTGAGAAAGATCTCATTTCTCAGCTGCTTTTGTAGCCAGATAATGGGCATGTAATCAAGTTCTGGCCAGTGGGATGTATTAGAAGTTTGGGGTGAGACTTCAAAGAAGTCTCAGTAGTGACAAGGTTGAGCCCTTTTTTCCTTTTTGTTTTGATTGTGGATTGTGGATGTGATGGTCAGAGTAGTAGTAGCCATTTTAGATCTTGAAGTTACCAGCCCAGAGGACCACAGGAAGTCATTTGCATTCCTGATGATACTGTGGAGTACTATAATGACAAAGTACTTTTGGTCTTTATGTAAGCAAGAAATGCTTCCAACCTGATTTAACAGTTGCTATTTGGTGGTTTTATGCTATATTTTAATCAACTACTATGACAAATATTACAAAAGGAAAAGCAAAACAAACAAAAGAATATTAAAGAGCCCTGTTGAACTATTTTCCCCGCTTCCTAAGGATAAGGTTGGAGACAGGTGTCTGCTGCCTATTAGATGAATGTATAAGATCTAAAATAAGGGATATATATATATTCCTAAAACAGTATAGTCCTAAAAAATATCATATCATTTATTATTCCAGTTTAAAATGTTACTTTATTTAATAAACTCTACAACAATTCTCCTTGGAATTTGTCCACTTTCCCAATTCCTCCAGTAATGCCTTATCTTTTTGTAACTTAGTGCTTTTTAAGAAAACTTTTTCAAACATTTTATGCAGCCGTCATCTTTCTTAGACAATCCTGGATGGCTCCAGAAATAAAACCCAAGGATGTGAGGTCAGAGTCTACGTCTTTTATTTGTGTCACAAAGTGACTTTTTTTCCTCACAAGACACATTAATTTGTATTAGAGAGTTTGCTGTTTTCTGGCTGACGTTTGTGTATTTAGGATTTAAGAGCAAAAAACATTTGTTTTAATACAAATAATATGCTTAGTAACACCATATGGTGGAAGAAAGACTTTCTTTGTAGATGGTCACTGGCCTTCTTGAGCTCTCCTCCCGTCCCCCTTCCCCCCACATACCTGAGGCATGATGCTATTGGGTCTAAGTTCAGTTTCCGTCCTTATATGAAAAGTTGGCTTGGCACAGTTTGGTAGAGCTAAGTCTGACCAGCTGCACTATCAAGCCACAAGGGAAATTAAACTAGGCAAAGTGGTTATGGCTGGTTCAGTACAAATCAATCTGAGTCTCTTGATATTAAAAACATATAACAATAAAAGCACATGAGCTATTGTCTTTTCATATGAACTAATTTTATTCCTGGTCTCTGAAGTATCTTGCCTGTGGGCAAAGCAAGTAAGGTGTTTTCTATTTTTTTAGTTTGACCATTTGGTAGTCCTATTTTTCCACCAGTTCCATGAGACTTATTGGAGAGAATGATCAAGTATAATACATTACACAAATATCTGAAGTAAAGTTGTACGTCTTGCCACCGCAGTGAAACAAAAAAATGACTTGCTTTGTCCAGGTCTCATCTATTTTTAAGTGCACCAAGGTGGTTTTGAATATATTCACAAGTTTGTAAAAGTATTACAATTATCTAATTCCAGAACATTTTCATCATCCCCCAAAGACTCTCCATGATCAGTCAATCCCAAATCCATCTTACCTTCAAATCCTGGTAACTTTTGGTAACTAACTTACCTGTAGACTCAATGGATTTGCCTTCCCATGGCAATTCCTAGGGATGGAATCACACAATATATGTGGTCTTGTGTGTCTGACTCGCTTAATTTAACATAATGCGTTCAAAATTTATCCATGTAGCATGAATCATCACTTTATTGTTTACATGGCATGTCGCTTCTTTTAAAGATTTATTTATTTATACACCACAGGACTGAAGTGCAGGCCAGAGGTGCAAGGCTGGTGAGAGGCTTCACCAGAGACAGAGTGGGGAGCAGAACAGGCAGATCTACGAAGTACACTGCTGAGGGGAGCAGTGGGCGAGACAGGAGGGGGTTTGCCACACCATGTGGGTCACATCCAGGACCGGTGATTGAACTCCCACTGAAGCGGCCGTGGCCGGCTTCCAGTGCTGCGTCCTAACCTGTTGTGCCACCAGGGAGGGGCCTGGCATGTAATTTTTTAAAAAAGACATTTTTTTTTAAAAAAGTAAAGCCTCGTGCCCTCCCTGGTGGTGCACCAGGTTAAAGCACAGCACTAGGAAGCTAAAGCCACGTCAGCATGAGTTCGATCCCTGCCCCAGAGGTGACCCACATGGCGTGGCAGACCTCTCCTGACCCACCCACTGCTCCCCTCAGCAGTGTACTTCGTCAGTCGGCCTGTTCTGCTTCCCATTCTGTCTCAAGTGAATCCTCTCACTGCCCCTGTACCTCTGGCCTGTGCCCCAGTTCTACATACATACATAAATAAATCTTTAAAAAAAAAACAGTAAAGCCTCAGTATTATTTCATAGAAAAGTTTGCTGTTTTGAAGGAGAAAATGAGATAAGATAATTCAGCTTAAAAGCTTGGCTTGACAGATGAGTATTAGCATATTAGTGAAAAATTAGAAAAAAAGTTAAAAATCCAACAGTGAAGGAGGTCCCTGCAGCACAGGATTAAAAGTCTCAGTACCATCAACCTGTCACCAGCCACTGTCCTATGAATTCCATCCCCAGCCAAGTTGCTGACCCACATGGCACAGCAGACCTCTCCTATCTCGCCTGCTGCTCCCCTCAGCAGTGTATTTTAGTGGCTTTACCTTTTCTGCACCCCACTCTGTCTCGGTGAATCCTCTTACCCCCTGCACCTCTGGCTTACACCCCAGTTCTTGCATGAAAAAATAAAAAAAAAAAGAAAATCCAACAATGAAGAACTGGTAGAAATAAACAGTCAATGGAATATGAAATCATTACCAGCACACAAAGCTTTTTGTTTATCATCAGAATGAAAAGGCAGGTACGTGTTGAGTTAGCATTCTACGACTTGTAATTGAAGTTTTTTTTCGTCTGGCAAATTTTTGTACTCCTGGGTGGACACATGCCACTGTCAGAAAGAGACCAGTAAGAAGGAGCACGAGGCTGCGCTGAATTTAGAAAGTTAGAGGTGTTCTCATCGGCCACATGAGATGGGCGGGAGATTCCTTCCAGTAGGCGAGAGAGCAGAGTGCAGACAACAGATGTGAGAAAGGTCCTCCTCACTGTCAAGTTCCAGCATCCTTGTGCTGAAGAAGGGCGGGGCCAACGTGATTGATGTCGGAGTCTGTATAAAAGCTGCCTGCTTCTCCCCACTTGCTTGTCACACCGACCTGCACCATCCCTTGACTGCTCCTGTAGTTTCTGTCAGCTAGTCCTAGAGGGAAGCAAGCTGCTTGGAGAATTCTGTTGTGGCCATGCCAGAACCCACTAAGAAAGAGGGTAAGTTAAGACTCATCCCTAAATCTTTTGTTGCGCTTTTTACTGGTTTTGGTATTCCTGTTCATACAGATCCCCAGTGTCTTAAGGAAAAGACCCTTGGAAGTATAAAGACCTGAATGAAAATACAGAAAGAAGATAACTAAATTAAAAGGTTTCTGCTAGTGATGGTTAAGGAAGGAATATTGACTAAAATGATCACATGATAATTTGCTATTTGACATTGTCCTTTTCAGGAGTTTTTTAAAGTGTCCTTTACGATGGTCCTTGCGAATAGTGAGCAGACTGTATTTTCAAGCATATTTTCTTAGGTTCAATCACAAATTTTCACTATGTATTTGCAACTTGTGGAGAGTCTTGGGATGCTTTCTGAAATAGTAAATTTGATCAAGTTTTCAAAAACAAACAGAATTTGTGACAATATTTCCAGGTTTGATGTATATTTTTTTTTCACCAGGCAACATTTAGAATATATATAGATATATAGAATCTGTCTTTTTTTTTCTTTTATCAGTGTTTTGGGGGTTTCATTATTTATTACACTATTAAATTCTACTTGGAAAAGAAAAACATCTGGGTAAAATAAATGTCTTTGAATATCACTAGTAGATTGTTTTCTTTAATGAGGTTTATTGTAAATAATTTCATAATATGTAGTGTTTTTAAATTAATTAAAATATAAAAATATTCATCCTCAGAAGAAATGTGTCCTCCCATAAACCTGCCTCTGTAAAAAAAAAAATTCAATGTTTTTAAGCTACTAATCAATAAGAAATAAATTGGTATTAGAAATTACTAAAATGACTAACCAAAACACAATTGACAGAACAAGTACAATGAGTTAGTATTTAATGAAACATCTTTAAAAACATTATTTCATTTTTATTAGTCTTCATTAGTACATTCTGAATCTTTCTGTTTGACTTCTGCAAATAAAAGCAAAAAAAAAAAAAAGAGAGAGAGAGAGAGATTAGCAGGAAGCATAAAAATAGTATTTAGTTTCTCAAGTTTTAATTATTAAAATGACCTTAACCATTGTTTTGAAGAACCTAGAAAGATGCTAGGTGTTGTACACAAACTTGAAATATTAACCAAATTAGCGAAAGTCTTTGAAACAAATTTTCTTTATGTAATTAAGTAACCAGTGTTGACAGGCTGTGGTGATCAGTTTACAGGTTGGCTTTACTTGGTGGTGGAGGGCATTGATGGATGAAGTCTTCCACCCAAAATAACCACACCAAATGCATGCATTAATATGGGAACTTAATCCTGATGATCAGGCTGTGAGTCCAGCCTCTGCTAAAGTGTCTTATTTGTAATGCAAATGATTTAAATGTGTATTAAGTGTCCTTTTTATTTGATCTGTCACTTGACTGCCTCTTCAAGGCTTGTTTGGATGAAATACATTCTAGGTTTCTTAACTAAGACCAGGATATTTTAGTAATACCTCATTTAGTGGAGGAATTTGCATGTGTTATTCTAAAGCCCCATTGAATAAGATAAAGCTGGAAAAAATACAATATTTACTTAGAGAAGATAAAACTTTTGCTTTAGATGTTGTACAATTGTAAAGATTATCAAACTAAATTATTCTAATTGTGAGATAGTTTTACTCTTTTGTCTGACAACTCAATCAAATCCATTCTGCTTTGAGACACAATGAAATTTCCCAGCCCAGAAAGAATTTTAGATTGTTTCTGAATCTAAAATCTGAATCTTTTTTTTTTCTAAATGGATACAAAGTCCTGTGATTTTTTTTTTGCTATCAAAACACTGTTGATATACTGTGTAGGAATTCCCCACCCAAGACAGTAATTTTATACTTATAGATTCTTTGGTTAGTTTAAATCTGGATGGTGAGGCGTGAGGATAATAAATGGGTTACTAATATATTTAAAATCCCTTGAGGAAGTACAGGGGATTTTTTTGGTTTCCTTTTTGAGGAAATGCACCTCATAAAGCTTTCCTGATAAAATCACTGTATTTTAATGTTCCTTGCACCAGAAGAAAGAGGGTGGCAGTTCAGGAACTAGTCTGGTCCTTCTCCTAACTGATTTCATTTTTCCTGATGCTGGTTTTGTTTCATATAAGCATCCCTCTGGAAGATAACTTCAGAATATAACATGTCACTAGACCAATGCTTCAGAGTCATTTCCAACTATCTGCAGAAACATTTCCAAAGGATGGGTTCCTTCAGGCCCTACAGGTCTTCTTATGTCTCTTTCCCAGTGCATAGAAACCCAGGAAAGACACGGCCACTTGCTCTGAATCTTTTTTTCTTTAAGACTTATTTATTTATGTCTACAGAACTGGGGTATAGGCCAGGGGTGTGGAGGGTGAGAGGGTTCACCAGAGACACAGTAGGGGGCAGAACAGGCAGACCAATGAAGTACACTGCTGAGGGGAACAGTGGGTGGGTCAGGAGAAGTCTGCCACGCCATGTGGGTCAGCCCCATGGAGGGGATCGAACGCGAGCTATAGAGGCTGTGATAGCTTCATAGTGCTGCGTTTTAACCCATTGCACCACCAAGGAGGGCCCTGCTCTGAATCTTGATAGGCTACACGGGCTGGTTTGACCCTCCGCGGATGCTGTGGGATCTGGCAACCCTTCAAAAGAGGGCTGGGTTTCAGCACCTGAAGTTGCAAAAGATGTCTCTCTCAACTGCCTCCCAGTCTACAGTGACCTAATTCCAGGAACTTCACATCAGGCCTTAGAAGAGCTGAATTGTCTGAGCTGGACGTGGAATGACAGGTGTAACTTTGGACCTCATGTAGGCTGTCTAATGGAAGACATTAGCCTCTAACTCTTTATGATCTTAAAAATATGCTGTATGTTTTGGTAATCCCTTTTGGAGAAAGAAAACATTATTTCTAAGAAGTACTTCTAAGGCGTAACCACTTCCCATATCCCTCTTCTCCACCTCCATTGGTCATACATTTATTCTTGGAGAACTACATTATCTGTAGCCCTTAATAATTCTGGATAAAAGTCATAACCTATGCGTTAGGTGCATGCAGAACTTGAGGCCAGAACGCTTCTTGTAATCAAATAGTAGAGAAGCTATGTCAGGAAGCTTCAATGTGTGGGAGTCTCCCTGAATGTCTGTCGATACATTCATTTATGGTTCAATGAGCACTTGTTATGAGCAATACTTGTTGAAATTTCAGAAATATATACAAGAGGGTCTCTGTTCTAAAAACCGCACAGTCAACTGCCCCTAGGAATGTAAAGGAATTATCTTTCACTGGAAATTTCTCTTTTGCTGTTGAAAACTTATTTTAGCAATATGAAATTAGAAAAATACAAAAGTCTTTGTTCTGTGGTAGAATCTTTAATAGTTTTCAAATATTATGACTGTCACTTAAATCCATAAAAATTATCTCTTCCTAGTTTTAATCTCTGCAGCATGTGTGGATTAATTTTACAAAGCTTATTTCTTTAATAAACTTAGTTTATTGCTAGTTGTCAGAGTCTACAAACTACAAAAATTCTATAATTCTGAGTTCATAACTTAACATGAATTTCACTCTTATATTTTATGTGCTTAATCTGTAGGAGAAAGACAAGAAAAAACTCCTCGGTGCTTCTGTGTCATTCAAAAAAAAAAAAAAAACAGTGAGAGTTGTTGTAGTTTCCTGTAAGATCTCCTATAAGATCTCACTCAAAACTTATGGCAACACCTAGGTACATTTATACCCGTAATAGTAAGAAATCATTCTGGTAGGCCATTCTTGCATCCAGGAAGCAAAGCCATGGTGTGGATACTACAGATGCCTCTGTTCTCTTGACACACAGTATTTACTTGTCTACTTGATTTTGGCCTTTTGCAATAGGAATAGTTGGGAATGTGTCACAGAGAATATTTTCAATCCACAGGGGTTTTCCCTTTCTTTTAAAAAAAGACTTATTTGTTTATGTGTACGAGAAATGGGGTACAGGACAGAGGTATGGGGTGTGAGAGGATTCACCAGAGAGAGTGGGGAGCAGAACAGGAAGATCTACTGAAGTAAACTTCATCCTATTTTAAAGTTCTGCTAAGCCCTAAACCTATCTTAACATAGGCAACGCTCGTCACCTCTCGCCTATTTCTCAGCATCGTTCAGGACTTACTCATCATCAGGAAAGTAGTCCTGGTGATGGAAAACCTCCTTCTCATATTTACTTCTTGACCTTCAATTTCTACCTGCCTTTGATTGCATTGCCTGTTTGAAATACCACAGTAAATTTGTCTTTGGAAGTCCCCTTCTGTATAGAGTATTACCTTTCCCTTAAGTTGGGGGAGAAAAGCAGGAAGAGAGCAAGGAGTTATTTATCAAAGGCAACTACTTTTTCCTTGTGTCTTCAAATGATTCATGGAAGGTTTTGGATGAGGACTGAAGAAGCTGAATGAACACAGCAATGTGTATTTTTCTTCTGGGAAAAACAAAAACAAACAAAAAAAACCCTGCTACTCTGAGCTGGAGATGCCTGGTGTAGATTTGTGCTGTCATAAGAAGGCATACTCTTGGGCAAACACACAGTAGAGAGACTTAATACTTGGCAAAAATCATTCTTTTTCAGTATCCTGCTTTATGACCATCCAAACTGCACCTGTTAGGGAGATAAATAAAGGACTGGCCAATTCTTTCCTCTCAAGCACCCTAAATATATCACTTTAAAAAAACTTTGGAAAAACATGTTGTATCCAGCTTGTATTATGCAGTAAATCTGAAGAAGTCTCCCTCCGCCCTTTCAAACAGCAGCCAAGTCAGAGTAAAGGAACCTAAATGCACTAGGTAGAGGTTAAGGTCTCTGGCTAGTTTGAGCCATCCAAGAGAAGGGGGAAAGTTAAACACATCCCTTTGTCCTGTCAGTGACTCACTTTATTTTGGCCTGAGAAGTGGCCTTGAAACATTTTATTTTAGGCTCCCAATGGACACGCAATTCAGTTTTCTTATTTATAGCCATTTCACAGTATCTCTGAGTCCGACATGAATGGTAGAATAAATTAAGCTGGACTCAA